ACACACACACACACACACACACACACACACACACACACACACACACAGTGTCCCTGGAAGTTCTCTTTGCAAGGACACAAGGACAAGTACCTCACTTCAGGTGACAGGGTGTGACTTATCTGTCCACATAGAGCAATGGGCACCTGCTGAGTATGCCCCATCCTCCAGCCCTGTCAGTCACTTAGTGTCACTTGCTTACTCCCTAGTCTATGTCTATGAGGCAGGGACATGTCCTTATATAAAAGGGGGAAGGGAATCACTGAGACATCGAACAACTTGTTAGAGAGTCACCTGTCTCACAAGGAGCAAAGCTGGGACAGGAACCTGGTCCATCCATGTTCTGAGTAGAGATGCCAACAACCTCACCCCTTGGGTGGAGGATAAGAAAGGAAGTAGAACCCAGGGTTTTTGAGGCTGATACAGCCTTCATTACCAGAGCAACTTTTCAGACAGAATCTTTTCTGGTTATATGATGCACCCCATTAAAGTGACTAGATTAATGTTAGAAGGGAAGTCATTCTGCACGCCTCTGTTACAGAAGCAGGACAAAGGCTGGGATATTGGCAGAGCTGCAGCCTCCCAGGCACAGAACAAAGCTATACACAGAGTAGAGACTGGTGGGCATTTCCCAGGCTATTCCTCACAGCTTGAATAGAGACAGTCTATTTATTCTTTTAAGTTTTCTGGATTTTTACAAATTTAATCCCAAATAACTTGGTAATGATTTCTTATAGCAACAAACAAAAATTCAAACTCCAAATCCTCTTCTTCCTCTACTATTTCCACCCCACGCCGACTGAGTTCTATTGATCAAAAGTTGGAATTAATAACAGGATTGGTGCAGTCAACAGCTGGAGACAGAATTTGGCGACATGCACAAATAACAAAGCACTGAAAATTTTTCCCCTTAACAAAAAGCAGGTCAGGAAAGAGCCTGAACATCATTCATCTACACTTCTAATGGTATCCATTTTTAAGAAGTAGAGTGTTAGAATGATCCAGGAAGGTAAGGAGAAACATTGACTCTACTGACAAATCAGCAGGATAGGGAGTCTGCCTGTTTGTGCTGACACCACTCTAGGTGGAGACTGGCGAGGGAGACTGTTTCCTCTCTTTCTGAGCATCTCTTTCCAGGTCAGAACTCACACGCTGCCACATCAGACATGTCGGCTCATACCTGGTTGACTGCTGAAGAATCTCAGGGGTACTGAGTACCTACAGCGTGAAGCACACCACAGTCCCTCAGGAAGACAGATGTAAGCGCGTCATCAAGAGAGAAGGAAAGGCTAGGGAAGTTTGGCCAACTGTCACACAGCCAGAGCTAGGAATAGTTTAGCTTGTTTTGATTGGAGACCCAAGGAATTGAGATACAGAGAGAAAATGACTAAGTGGACTAAGCGTCCATAGAGCACAAGTCTCTCTCAAATCCAGACCGGGTCCCCTGACAAGACCCGCCCTCATGAAGCAAAACCTAGTAGGTCCCCTGGATATCTGTGTGCCATCCAGTCCCTATGGCATTCTCAGGAGCCTTTGGTGACTTACAGAGAAGATAGCAGCCAGCGTCTCGATTCCTCCTGTGCTCAGGGTGATGTATGGGATCTTGTCCTGAGGGATCCCAGCTTTCCCAAAGATGCTGTTGGTGTAGAACCAGATCTGTAATGCAGAAAGGATCAAGGATGGTCATCCAGAGACCTCACCCTCCCTCCCACCCTAGACTAAGGTGTGAGGCTCTCTCTGAAATCTTGCCACCGAGCCCAGAGTCACAGGTGAGCTGTGCCATGTAGCCATATGGTGCCCCCAACCCCTACTTCTTTACTAACAGACTCCTGCATTCTTGGAAGTGATGTCTGTCCATCCAAGCCACTGCTTCCTACACTGCCTCCAGTTAGGAACAGGTAGCAACAGAAATATTGGTGGGACCAGCATGAAGCTTCCTAGTTTACTCTAAGTCTTATATGTATTTATTTACTTGTTTATTTATTTATTGTGGGGTGGTAGCAGTGTGTGTTGGGGGAAGAGAGGTCATAAAGGAAGTTGTAGGTGTCAGCTCTCTCTTTCCACCATGTGGGGTACAGGGGTTGAATGCAGGTCCATGGTAGCAAAATCCTTTACTGAATGAGCTATCTTACAGGCCACACACCCTGCCTTTGCCTTTTCTTCTTCTTTTAGAGAAACTTTATCAAAGATATATGCTCTGGTGTTTACTTATTTTATTTTTTCCTACTTTCCTTTGTGTGGCCAGGATGCCGAGTGTGATGGTTGGAGCCTCGGTAGCCCTCTTGGGTCATTTAGTAACCTTGGTTAAGTATACTCTGTGAGAATCAAAAACTTTTTCCTCCATAAAACATCTTAGTAGGACCCAGTAGAAACTGCCATGATAAATCTACAACAATACACATGGTTGAAGTGATGTTCTTGAGGTCTGTGTAACTGTACATGTACAGGCAGGTCCCAAGAAAACTAATTTCCCAAACCCCAAAGACAGACCCAATATCCAGAAATGAACTCAACCTGGATGATAGGAGGGATTCTGGTGGTTAGATAAAAGCCAGCATTCCTCAGAGCTTGTGAAATACTGATTCCCATCTGCCCAAAGGGGTCATTTTCATTACCTCTGGCATAAGGGACATATGGTTACCTGGGGTACCTATCAGCGTGTGGAAGCTCACGCTGGCCTCCAGGCTCCCTCAGGATCACAAGTACTTTAGCATCCTGACCTTCTCACCTCCTCCATACCCTGAACTCCCTCCAGCTCAAAGGATTCCCTCCCCACAGCTACCAGATCTCCTTATGAGCCTGCTATCTCACTACTCACCCTCTTACTTTCTCCTATGCTCTCTCTCATCTCTTGCTAGTCAGTTACTCTCTGTCTTTTACTTCCCCCCCCCCACACACACATTCTCTCCTATTCTCCCACTTCCCTGGCCCCAGTCATGTCCAGTCTGCTGGCAATGCTTAGTCTATTTCTTTCTCTGCTCTGGACCCTCCCGATGCTCCTGGCTGTTCTCTCTCTTATATCTACCACAAACACCTTATTCTGGATCAGTCATGCTGGCAGTTTCTTGGATGCACCTCCTCACATACAGAAACATCGGGATTGTTTAGCTGCTACAGCTCTGATGTCAGGCCCAGCACTGGCTATACTACCCTGATGCTTGTGTGAGGAAACCCTTGTTTCTAATATGTCTTGTTATGAACACTTGTTTGAGAAGCTATTTACACCCAGGGCAGGGAGAGTCAGGACTAACTTGTATCCAACAGCTGGTAAGGTTTGCAGTGACAGATTATTTTTCATGGGGTCTCCCAAACAGCCAGAGGCACAGTGCGAATGAGCTACTGTCCTAGTCCATGGATCAGTTTGAAGAGATGGATTTTAACGTTCACATGTTACAAGTAAAGACCCACTGCCCTGTGTTATCTGCATCCCCACTGAGTGGGTAGAGGAGGTAGGACTTTAAGCTCTGTTGGAATGAATGGTGGCTGCCACATTTGCAGTGCACAGAGGCAATACCTCACTAGCCTACCAGTCCCTGCTGCTCTGAGGCTATCTATCATTCTGAACCCTCAGTATCTCTGCATCTTTCATATCAGCTTCTTCTCCACGGTTTCCCAGACCCAGTCACAGTCAGATTGTAGACTTAGTTAAGAGATATTCTTTATTGTCACCCTGGATTTTAGTGCCACAGGTCTCTGTGTCTTCCACTCATAGGGAGGCAGAGCTTTCAGCCCCCACCAATACTTGGTATATATTTTCCTGTAGAAACGATTCTCCAGCCTCATGCCATCTCAGCTCCTCCAGCCTCCATGACCCCTTGTGTCTCTAGTTTCCATACTCCCTGAAGTGGCACAGCTGCGGACATCCTCATCAGGTTGAAAGTCAATGTCGGGAGTCATTGTGCAAGACCTTCTGTGTTTACAATAGTACAGCTGTGAAGAGGACTGAGACAGCTTGCTAAATGCATCTAGACAGCAGTAGGCAGGAGTTGTCCCTTATCCCCAGCCCCAGCCTGGATCCTGTGAGGTCCGCAGGGCTTGCCTGTCCCCTTCTGCCTGATCCATGTAGCACCCTTCCTCTACCCTCATTTCAAGAAGCGGGAGATGACTGCCTTCACCTTGACCTCTGTATGAACTGAAGGAAATATGATCGGACAGTTTCAGGCTCTTGTGAAAAAGAAGAAAGTGCCTGGGACACTCAGAGTCAGAGACTTACAGAGCAGGAGCTTCCTCCATCTCACCAAGTCAACGTGAGCAATTCCCTAGACTCACCTCCCCTTTTTCAGGCTGCCCCAGGTTCCCTACTGCCAAGGTTCTAACATGCTGAAGTGTCCAGGAAAAGCCTTCATAAACAAACAATAGGCATCCTTCTAGAAGGTTCCATCTCTCCATGAAGACATTCAGACTCTTTAGGAAAAAGAGCCTCTGTTGTCAGTGGAAGGCATATGTGATACCCTCCTCCTTAAAGGTGCAGGGCTGGTGTCTTTCTGAGTCTCCCAATGCTTCACTCTAAGCTCCTGGAACACTGTTTTGATGAGGCAGCATGCCATGCAATCATTCTACCTGTGAGAAGACTGAGGAGAAAGCAAGGGCCACTCCCTATGCAATGACACCAGATTAGAGAGGTGTCCCCTGGGTGCCCCCTCTCTTCATGTAGTACATGCCATGATACTCCTCTGTAACCTGTGGCTCTTCACTCTTCTATCTGCTTTTGGCTGTAAACACAGTGGTCATGGGATGAGAGATGTGGCCTGACCTTTGCCAGTTAGTGCCTGCCTCATCTTTGTTCAACATAGGAGTAACTGTTCTGGTAGTGACCAATCAGCTAGCAAGAAGTAACTTAAGTGAATGGTCTTTGTTGTTTGCTTTTGGCTCGTGGTTTGAGAGGGTATGGTCTGTCATGGTGGGATTCCTGGAGCTGAGACTCCTTACAATCTTACAGACCATGAAGTAGAGAGCAAATGGGAAGTTTGGTTGTAACCCCTGAGACCTGGAGGAACAGATTTTCTCCAGCTTGTCTCTGTCTTCTAAGCTGTCCAGTTTCCACACACAGCACCACCACCTGGGGGCCATGTGCCCTAACACATAGGGACAGTCCACATTCAAACTGCAATGCCCAGAGCAAGATAATGCTGACCTGGATGTGCTTGCTGGACATGGAAGGACCCATGGTCCTTCCAAAACATCTCTGTGTTAATCCCAGAATCTGGCATCTTAGCTTCCACAACAAGTCTGACTCTAAGCATGGGGAGACCCTGGAGGCAGCAGTTTTTGCTGGATTGTCTGAGTGAACCGTAGATGCCATCACTCCTTATGAAGGAGAAATGGGGGGGGGGCAGAGTTGGAGGAAGAAGGTATAAGGGTGGAAGAGGACGAAGGGAGAGAAAAATCAAACGTGCTTTATTGCATCTGACTCTGAAGATAGAGGAAAGAGGCCACGAGCCAAGGAAAGAGGCAACTCCCAGAAAGCTGGGAATGGGTTTTCTCCTGGTGTGTCCAGGATTGGGTGCAGCCTGAATTGGCTTGAGGACTTCTGACCTCCAAAGCCGTACAATGATAAGTGGTTTGAAATCTCTGGATGTCAGTGCTGTGATTTTTTTTTAACGTCCACTGGTGACAAGAAATGTGCACACTGGAGAGATGTAATTCATTTATACCATGTTTTACCTGGGGGGCGAGTACTTCTCACACATGGTGATCTATGGCTGCTTTGAGGTCTAGGAGGAAAAGGCCTGTTCATTATTAAACACCTTCTGGTTGTTCTCTTAGGCTTTTCCTCTGCTGGGCAGAATCTACTTGCATTTTCTCTGTGTGTCTTGCTCAGGTCCCAGTTAAAAGCATGGTGCTTTTCCCTGCCCATCCTTGTTCTACCAAGAGCTTTGCTGTGAGGCATTAGGTTTTGTGGCAGGCCAGGATATGCACACTAAGGGTCTCTTGGGACTAAACCAGCTAAAATAGACAGGGTTTGAAAATGGCCACACATAAGATACTCAGTGAGTGTCCTGAATCAGCACAGATGTTAGACAAACTATCACAGTCCTTTCTTTCTCTCCTTCTCTCCCTCTCTCTCTGTGTATGTGTGTGTATTTGTGTGTGTGTGTGTGTAATACATGTGTGTCTAGGTCAAAGGTCAACCTCGGATGTCATTCCAGGTGCATCCACCTTGTTCTTTGAAGCAAGCTCTCTCACCAGCCTGGGCTGGCTGAGTCAGGTAGGGTATAGAGCAGGAGTATCTTGTCTGATTTGTCTATAAAATGAGACCATATGGGACTGTAGAAATCCTGGGGTGTTTGGTCACACCCCCAGAACCCAGAGACCTAACATGCGGTCTCCATGTAACATGCAGTGGGTCACGTAAGGCACAGGTAGAGGGCGGGGAAACAGACCTCTGCCTCAAGATTTACATATTACCTAAAGGCCCTAGCCCTGCCCCTCTCCCGCTTCCAATATAGGGAAGCCCTTCCTGGCATTTTGTGGGAGAGTACCACCATTCAGATACATCACCATGGCAATAAAATCTCCAATTCCATGTGTCTCCTGGGACTCTGGACTCTCTTTGTATAAGTGGGAAACTCTCCAGGAAAAGCCTTCCTGCCCTCCCTGTGCTCCCTGCTGCAGCCGTCCTCGGGACACTCTCCCCTGTAGTGGCAGTCCGTGCACCCGGGCCTTCGTGGGCTGCCCCGTCTCTGTTCCGGACACCCCCTTCTCCCCTGCGCCACTGCTTCGGTACCCTGCGCCCGCCTGCAGCTTCTGGACAGCTCAAGCCCCACGGTGTGGGCGGGATCGAACCATCAGCAGAGAGTGTAGCCGAGTCCAGCCGACGGAGCCATAATGTCTTTCTCATCCAAGAAGTACATATGCTGCCCCTACCCTGTAGGACTCCTTGGGAACAGAGCAACGTGACCAATGGGAGGTGCCTGCCTGGCAGTATTAACTAGTGTCTCCTAGGGGGTCATAGTCACCTAAATGAAGGGACAGAGCATGTTTTAAAGCCACCTACTGTTTTTTAATCTGGGTTAGTTCTTGGCTCTGGCCTCTGGGCTGTGAAGGAGAAGGCTGCGGGAGAGGGTCTGGACCCAAGCCAGGCTGGCATTTACAACTAAATAGCATGTGTCCTTTTGTCTATAAAATGGACAAAGGAAAAAAGATGTGTTCTTTTTTAAAGAGAAGACGTGTTCTGTGGCTGCCTAGAAGTGAGGTGGGGACAGCCTGAAAAACACAGGTGGGATAATTTGAGTTGGGGATTGAGGACCCTCTCTGCTTGGGGCTTAAGTACCTAGAACTTGGGGTTCAGACAATTGGTGCTCAAATCTCCTTTATACAGTATCTAGCAGCGAACATTTGGGAAAATGTCTCAGTGTGTCTGCATAACAGTGGGGTCTGAAGGACAGCTCCTGGCCCCACAAACTGCTCATCTATGCACCTGATCAGGGCCAGAGCTGAGTGCACAGTCAGGCCAAAGGAAGCAGATGGCCCAGGTTTCTGGCTATAGGTTCATGGGGACAGCGATATGGGAAGCCAGGACTCTGAGTTGTCTGGAGATCTCTGTCCTATCTCAGGGAAAGCATCTGCGCTTGTGAAGGTAGAAACAATCACCACTCTACAACCCACCAGACAGATTTTTCTGGCACAACTCTGTGCAGCATGGCTTGAAGGAACATCAGCATGATTCATTCCTTACAGAATATCCAAATGGAAAAATGAGGTCCTGGGGGAGGAGACGGGTCTGCCCAGCAATGGCATGGCTCTTCATCTAACTGCTTCATTGAGCATAAATTCCACATGTCCTTAAGACTCTATGTGTGGCCTCAGGAAACTGCATCACTGAGAGTCTGATACACCTGACCTTGAGTTTGTCTAGGGAAGGAAACTACGGAATGGGCAGTAGCCACTCTGGGCTGAGCTGTTGATTCTCCAACTCCACTAGTTCTTCTCACTTAACTGGGCCAAGGTAAAGAGGCAAAAATGACTAAGGAACAAAGTGATCTCATTTTGACACTGGTGTTTCCAAAAATAGAATTCAGAGTTGTTGAAATTTGGCAGAATGTGTGGCTGCGATCTTCCCAGGCAGCCATTTCCCGCTTCTGGACAGGAGCGTTGCTGTCACTCCCTCCCCCACATGAGTACCACCTGAATGACAGTAGGAGGTGCTGGGCTCTTGTTGAACAGGTATGAATAATCTGGGCTCTCTGGAGGTCCTCCCCACAGCAACCCCTCCCTCCTTCTGTGCTATGTGCCCAGAAGCCTGTCTGCATCCCTTCATGGATGGAGAGCTGACCCCATCCCAAGGTGAGGCACCCCACTCAGTTTCCCAGAAAAAAGCAATCACACTCAGCTCCCTCGATTCTCAGATTTGGGGATTTTACCTTCTGGGACATTGGAGAGAGGCCTCTAGGGACACCTCAGCTCAGACTCCAACAAGCTGAAGCCAACATAGCCAAGCCTGCTTTATTTAAGTCATGTTGGTCCTCTGTTCCTTTGACTTTCTATGTCTGTTTATTGAGAGCCATGACTCTTAGGTATTTCCAGGGACACACGGTAGGACAGTTGGTGGCAGTTCAAGGACAACCTTGCTTGCTGCTGTTTGGACATTGTATGCATAAGTCGGCTCCGTATCCTTCTATCCCATTCTACAGAGGTGGGAACTGAGGACAAGCCAAGTTCCACAGATGCTCAAAGGCACAGCTCAGTGGAGGCTTACAGAGCTGGGTTTGAAAGACATCCAGCACGCACACCCTGTGCCACCCACATTCTGGCCTCCCTCAGGTTTTCTTTGGTGCTGACGCTGGTGTGTGTGTGTGTGTGTGTGTGTGTGTACTCACCGCATTGAGTCCACATAGTTGGTAGCTGGCCATGGTGATAATGACAGTGATGACCTGCCAGCGGACAAAGGGTGCCCTCAGAAGCTCAAACACAGACACCAGGCGGAGGTTCCTTTGCACACGGCTCTCAGCCAGGGCCTCCTCCAGTTCTTGGGAGACATCTTCTTTCCCCAGAAATGTTTGGAAGGCTGTGAAGGACAGGCAGGTATTGGGATGTTGGCCATCTAGGATGTTGGCCCTGAATGGATGGGCCCCATTATCTGGACATATGCTTATCAGAGACCTTTGGAATCTGTACAAAAACTGTATTTAAAATCAGGAAGATAGGGGCCTAGAGACACACACCAACTTTCCTGAAGTCACTGAGTAGGCTGAGAGAGAATCTGGGTCTCTCACCCACCACTCCTCTCCCCAGAAAAGTAGAGCATGTCCAGCATTGAAATCCATCTCCCAGGACAGCTGTCCCCACTGATCTTTTATATACAGTCTTGCCTCTCACAGCTAGGGGACAAACTGCACAGCATCAAGCATGTCAACCCTTGCTTAGAGCTCATCCACCAGAACTGCTATTCCAGTGAACGTTCATTGAGCACCTCCTGGTTTCCTGGCCCATTCTCACTGGGGATTTCTGGAGGGAAGTCAATGGCCACACACACACACAAGTTTGCCTACCCCAAAGCTGCCTCTATGGGTAAAAAGAGGAGTAAACCTAATGACCCTCATTAAGGCTCATTCCATGTGACCCTCAGAAATATGAATGTCCTGAGTGGAATAGGAGAGCGAAGATCCACACATTCTCTTGACGGATGTGTTTCCGAGTCAAGCATTGCAAATTTCCAGCCATTGGACAAACCATATTTTAACCCCTATTAAAGCAGACCCCTGAGACCATAACAGCCAGATCTCACAGCATGCTTTCAGAGTGGAGGCTTCCAGATTCATTGCCCTCCGTCTTCCTCCTACAGGGTAAGGTAGCAGTGGTGATGGCTCCCGTGGACAGTCCATTCCACACACAGCAGGCACTGTCCTTAATAACACGGCTCCTGCACCTCGGGTGTGTGAAATTGTTCTTTTTAAGCAGAAAAGTAAAGCGGCTAAGCCCATTCCAGATTTTACAGGCAGGGATGCAGGAGGACTTCGGAGGCACTGCAAGCTGCTTCTAAGCATGTCTTTGGAAGCTGTGATTTAATGGTTTTGCTAGCACTGGTTAATCGTACAGGAGAACAGTGACTGGCTTTTTACTGCACACTAAACCATTGTATTTTGAATGTTTCTTCCAAGTTCAAAATGCAACATCCGTATTATAAAACAGGTCTAGAGTTTGCATATTTCCATTCCAAAATGTGGACAACTTTATCCCCTACCCCTTTCACCTTGAAGTTCTCAGGCAGATTCAGTGTACAGAGCTCATCAGAATTTCCCTCCACAGCCTTGTCCTTGCTGACAGCTCCAGGCTCAGGCTCACTCATTCCCTGAGTTTTCTCTTCCCAGCATCCCCTCTTGCACTGCTCTAGCATCTTTAAGCCCCACCCCTCCACCCCATCATCTTTTGTCAGGATCAGAGAACAGGTGCCAGGGTGATGTTTCTTAGTATGGCTCAGATAGTAAACCTAGAACTTTCTCTCACAACAGGGATCTCCACTTTGATACCAAGGACTTCTTGAGCTGAGTAGCTTCAATGGGGATATTAGTTGCATGGTCAGATGTTTGACACTGTCCCTGGATTCTACTCCCAGATGTGATAATTCTTTTATTTGCCTAGTGGGTACAAAATGTTGTAACCTTCTGTTGTGGCTTTAACTGTTTACCTGTTGTCATATGGTACCTGTGAATGTGAGCTCTGGAAACAGTCACCTAGTGACGACTGGTGGTCATGCTCCAGTAGCCCTGGTCCATCTGACTCTTGTCATAGGAGTCACAGAGAATGGATGCTGAAGCTCAGTGAGAATATAAGCATGAAGGAGACTGGGGGGTGCAGTTGTCATCCAAGCACACTGTTGGTATTGGAAGACTAAGCATGTGGGAACATTGAGGATGCAGAAGGACTAGCAATGCCTGAACACTGAGATGTAGACCTGAGGATGCTAGGGTACCAAGGCTACAGAAGACTAAGGGTGTTGGGGCTCTAAGGATACTGGCCACCATCACCATCTAGCAGGGGAGAGAATGACTCTGCTGGAACTTTGACTTTAGATTTCTGCTCCCCAGAACAAGTGTACAATCAGTTGGTGTAGTTAGTTTTCCTGAGCTGGCAGGCAGCCTGGGACTCCATGCTGTGGTGACAGCCTGGGACTCTGTGCTTTATTTGAGTATTCTTCACCTCTTGCAGAGCAAAGCCCAGAGTGGTCTAGAGGCTTCTTTCCCATAACAAAGAAGGCAAAAGAACGTCATGTGGAGCACTCCCAGTGATCCTTTGTGATTATGTGCAGAGAGATGCTCTGAGTTTTGTGTCTTGCACAGTGCAGGACTAAGGACTTCTAAAAATAGGAACTTTGTCAAGCCATTCCTTTTCAGCCGCTACTGGTATTTAAAAGTAGGATGTCATGAGGCTTCTAAAACAGGCTCAAGGTCTCTTCATTATCCACAGTCGTGATGTCCTACATGGAGGAAGTGGGGGTGTAGAAGGAGATGTTGAGGTTCTATGTAGCTTTATACAATTTTATTGTGACTGGGCCTGGAACTTCATGGTCTGTGTGAGTGTGTGGGAGAACCCACACTGTGGAGAAGCCAGCAGGGCACTGTTTTCTGTTACAGGATATTTGATTATTGTACACAGAAAAGCTAATTGTTAGCAAAATATACAAGCTTAGAACGATATTGTGTTTGTCAGATGCAGTTAGGTGTGTCCTGTAGAGATGCAGTTTGGTGTGCTTCTAAAAGCCTCTACAGGTAAGAATGCTAAGGAATTCTTAATAGGAAGGTTCCTGCCTATTCTAAGGCAAGTTGCTTGGTAGAGGTCTTGTCTTTGCACTATGACCCAAGGCAAAGTCAGCTGGATGGCCTTGGGCTGCCCCTCCTTAATGATGAAATAGTTTGGCCCCTACTCACTTTCTTGGAGCCTTCCAAGGGTGTAGGAGGGGGAATTAGAGACTTCTTTTTATATCAATTGGACTTTTGAGAACTCTCTCTGGGCTTGGAAGAGTTTCCTAGAAGGAGCTCCAGGTAAAAGATAGGAATTTGTTTTTTGGGCTTACAGGAACCACAGAGAAGCACCTGGCAGAAAACCGTGAAACAATTGTCTAGGGAAGAGAGCTAAGGAGCCCTCTTGGATTTGAAGGAGCTCAAGAGAAAGGTAAGCTAGCTTGCTGGTATGACAGGTAGAGATTTCAAAACAGCTAGCAGGGTAGTTGTAGAATCAGGCTTGTGAATAGATATTTTATATACAGTTAAGAAAATAAAATTATGTTTCTGAGCTAGCAGGTTTTTACCTCAGCTCCCGCCTCCCATGTCTTTATGGGTGTCAATACTGGATTAAATGATTAAGTGCTACGGTTTTCCGTTGTGATCAGTACACAGTGATACATAGCTTTTGTACAGTTTACTAGTCAGTGAATTGGCTAACGATCAGCAAATTGGAGGCTGATAATTTTGTCCCTTGATTGAACTAATCTGAAAAATATACAGATATTTTATAAAGAACCTGCCAAGGCTTCAAGGCATGGTTGTGTGCGTCTGTCATCCTGTCCCAGGTGAAGGGGAATCAGGGGCACCAGGGTCTCAGAGTCATCATGGCTTCTGTGGTGGTTGGAATGAGATCTCCTCCATAGGCTCATGTGTTTGAAAAGTTCATCTCCATTGATGATGCTGTTTGAGGAAGCTCACACTTCCACCAGCAAGGAAGAAGTGTGTCATTGGAGGGTGGATTTTGAGAGCTTATGGTCTTGGTCTACTCCCAGTGTGCTCTTTCTGCTTTGTGTTTGGGGTTCAAGATATGAGCCCTAAGCTTCTGCCCTGGCCACCGTACCTGACACTTGCTACCATGTTGGACTCTTATCCTCCTGGACATGTAAACCCAAATAAGCTCTTTCTTCTGTGAGCTGCCTTGAACATAGTGTTTTATCACAGCATCAGGACAGTAACTCATACAGCTACAAAATGAGCTTAGCTCAGGCTCAGGCTACAAGTGACTGAGTAAAATGAAACAAACAAACAAACAAACATCCTCAAAGAAATTAAAGCTTTAAAAACTAACAAGTGGTACCACAAACCAAGTTGTGACACAGTGGGGACACTGCCTGTGCTCCAGTTACAAGGCACTGTAAGTCTCAAGACTAGCACCGCCTAGCAGAGAATGCACAATTAGAAAATGATTAATTTATGTTCTCAAGATAAGGGAGACAGTTCTGCGGGAGTGTGAAAGCAGCAGCATTTAAATGAAACCATGCAATGAAAAGAAGTCTTCGGAAATGTTTCTGTTTGGAGTCAAGACTGTGTATTCAGCTCATCCATGAGAAATCTTGTATCTGTACATCTAAAACTGAGTTCAGATCCCCAAACTCATGCAAAGCCAGACGGGGTAGTGCACATCTGTAAGCCCAGAACTCCTATGACAAGATGGAAGGTAGAGCCAGGATCTCCAGGTCACCATGACATATAAGCTTCAACAAACAACAAACAAACAAACAAAAAACCAAACCAACAAAAATCCAAAAACAAATAAAACAACAAAAAACAACCAACCAACCAAACAAACAAACAAAAAAACCAAAGAAAGCCATTCTCAAATGGGGTGGAAGGCCAGGACCAACACCTGAGGATGTCCTCTGACCTCTGATGCATGCTACGGCACACTCACCCCTGAAGTCACACATATGCAGGCAGAGAAAGAGAATAATAATAAAAACCTCAGTATCTTACAAACAGTTTTTTTTAAAATCCCTGCTTTACAATAATCCAAATGAGTTTCTGTGGGCTTTGTAGAATTGTGCTTGTCTATATAAAAAGTGAATCCTTTTATTATTTCACTAGAGTGGCTGACTGACATTGGGGAAAATGGAGATTTTCTGGCTGGGTTTTCGCTCTCTCCAGATGCTTTGTTCGAGGGGATGGAGCTGTGCAGTAAACGAGGTGCTCCAGGTCAGCAGCCTCACTGTCTCCTCTATAGGGCTCTGTGGGTTGTCTTACTGCCAAGGACAATACTGAAATTGCCTTGCCTCCTGCCTCCTGCTTGCCCTCTTTAGAAGATAAA